GCAAGCTGAAATTTTGCGAGGATATTCTATGCCTATGTGCGATCCAAAAAATTCAGCTTTAAATCATGCCTAATACTCAGGGCAGCTTCAATTTATAGGTTGTCTTTAATTATCCTTTTATCTATAATTATTTGGAGTCTTAGTTAACAAAAACTATACAAATTATTAAAAATAACTTCTCCTGTCGCTATCTTAACAACGATTTAGAACTGGACACATCAAAAATGGGGTGGCACACGAACTCCTTGTGAAAATTTTCCTGCATTCGAAGAATCCTCATTTGCCTCAAAAAGCTGAGGGGACTAAAAGATTAACTAGAAGAGCGAAAACACTTTGCGAGACGTACTATTCTATGTTAGGCCGTGAAATTCTGGTCCAAAGATACTAAAATCCTTTAATTTTATAAAAAGGGATCAAAATCAAGGACGTGAACCGAGAAGCAAATTGATGTAGACCTAAAAAATCCAACAAATTTCGTGGGTGGTACTTGTTTAGAAGTGAAAAAACAAAAAGTTACAAGTTTTAGAAAATATGAAAATTGGACGGCTTCAAAAATTAAAACATAAACTTATGCTGAACACAAACAATTTCAAAAAAATTTAAAAACATATTACAAATCAGGATACATTCAGGCCAATCAAAATCAGAAAAAAAAACCGCATTTCTAATCTTCTTCAGAGAAAGGTCGAAATGTTTTAATAAATGCGAAAACAGAATTTCCACCCACTAAATTTGATGAATATGGCTAGACCGGAGAAAATATTAAGTCAGGACGAACTGTCCGCCCAGACAACCCAGGAGCATTATTCTGAAATTTCAGCTTCCTAGCTTCCACAGCCTCGTGCTTTATTAATTTTGGGACCCAAAAATTCCACGCATCTCTACGTGGGATTTAGGGGGGTGCGGGAAGGCTAAGTCCGAATTTGCGCAAGTGATTTTACCTGGTATTTTTCCAAACACCGAATACCAGTTATGCCAGGCCCTTCGATTCTGAACTGCATGCCTCTAGTTAAACTTTTAGGAAGAAGAAATCATGAAAAACTGAAAAATTGCTTTCCTTTTTTTACATTTTCACATTTTTACATTTTACATCTTTTTACGTCTTACACTGAATGCATCCTGGCATATTTTAAAACTCAAAACATATGATCAAAATTTTCTGGATTTAATCAAACATCAATTAATACAATTTACAATCGCCATCAATATTTCTACCTTTCTGCTCATGTAAACATCCATGTGTATTCACTCAAGCAAAAAATCTTCGCTTCCATAAAATATTATCGAAAAAAACATGTACAATTTTTGCAGAAGATAATACAAAAAA